GTAAAATTTAACTGATTTTACTTCAGATAGTGAGACAAAAATCCACACCAAACATACTCACTATCATGATGCAAGGGAAATATACCAGTGGCATTTTTGTTGTGGGCAAGTTATACACTGGTTGCTCTGATTGCTTACTCTACTTCAGACAGGGATCAATAAATAAATAGAGAAATAAAAGAAGTAAATGAAGCATTGTATCTAAACTAACAGCTGATATTCCACTATGGGGACAAGTGTCTTTTTCACATGATTTAACAATTACGCTAAATCTTGAACCAAGCTGTGGTGTCATTTCCTAGATTGCTCTTTCAGTCATTTATATTTGTAATAATGTCATACAATACATTTAGCCAATTAGACAAAAAGGACATAAAACCCTGGTCAGCAAAAGACAGCATTTCACACAGCAGAGCTAATTTATGTAATCCATTGTCCCATGATGAGGTGATGGCAACTGGCTTTTAGAGGAATTAGACAATTTAATGGAAAAGAGGTTTAGTCATGCTTATTGGCTGTGCTAGCTTAATGGAACCTCAAAAACAGTTCTTTCCTGGTTATCATTTATTTGTTTTATTTATTCATTCTATTTTATATATCCCATTTTCCACTCTAAAAAGGAATAATTCAAAGCAGCTAACAGAATAAAGAAATAAAAAAACCCAATCCAGGGCCAGTATTATCTATCAGTGAGCTAATGCTACTGAACTAAAGGTGTTGCCACTTTTCTTTTCTTTTTCTCCTCCTTCTTTTCTTCTTTTTTAGTTATGTGTAGTTAAACCAAGTAACCTTTTCTAGCCTGACTTCTCGAAACCTAATGGGAACATCATTCACCCTTGCTTCAATCATTTGTCCCCAAGTAGCTGTTACCCAATAAGGAAAGTTTGGGGGGTGCGGTGAACAACTCTGGCAATACTATTACTATACTATTATGACAAGAGATTTTGTATTTATAGTGTTATTGCCGGGGTGTGGGGGGGGGGGGGAGAGGAGAAGCATCAATAGTCCCAATAATGCCACTGCAGAGCTTCTGAACCTGTGGTTATAGCTGCTCCTGGTGCTGTCATGACATTCTAGGTAGCCATGTAGCTTTAGTGGTGTGATTCTCCTCACCTAATAGTAAACAAGGTAGCATCAAAGTGCTAATAAAGAAGGATTGAGAAAATGAATGTTTCAGTAAAGGCATGTTTCTGTTTGTTTAAAAACATGAAGATTGCAATGAAACAACCTCTTGTGATAAAGTCCTTAGTATACTAACCCACTTCATTACACTAAAGAAAAATCCCACTTAAATCCAGTTTCTGTCCCCTGCAGAATTCTGGGGTTTATAGTTTAGTGAGGCTGTTAAAGTCTCCTCCCTAAACTACAAACCCCAGAGTTCTGCAGGAGGCAGAAATGAGATTTTGAGTGGGTTTTTTTCTAGTGTGATGAGGCCCTAAGGAGGTGATAGAAAATAAAGGCTCAACACAGGGTTTTCATTTCATCATTTTTCAACTAAGGTCTCACCAAAATCAACATCCAGCAGAAGAGGAACAAAAGTTTTAAAAACTGAATGTAAGAAAAAGCAAAAATGACAGACTTACTCCATCAAGCAAACTGGAAATTTGCAGCTTGAGGAAAAGGTGTACACAAATATTTGCTTACTAAGGGAACATAATTTATCTCCAGTTTTCTGTTGTTAGGAACTTACGAAAATATTCGGATTTCTTCATAAATGAAAAAGACTAAAATTAAAAACAATAGTGGACATAAGAAAGACATTTGATACTTCATATTTATAACAGCAAACCAAAGCTATGTTCCAAATATTCCAGAAAGCTATACTTCACAAGGTTATAGAAATATTTATATGTAATAAATTGTATACATGGGTCTGTAGGAGTGCTGAACCACAAAACCTGGAACTTTTCCAAAGCCACTTTCAACTTTTGCAGATTATTTGTGCCCAGTAAAAACTTTTCTTCTAAAATAATCTATTTATATATAAAGGAAGATAGGGGGAGAAAATCCACATTTTCTGAGTACTTCCCCATTACAACTCCTTGGTAAATTGTAGCTCTGTGGGGTGCTCGTATGATTAAAACCTTCTGGGCTTTGGGATGCATTTTCTCTGCAGGATTTGTCAAATCTTTTTCTGTTCTCTGTTGGGAGTACTTAAAAGGCAAACAACTTTAAATACAATCTGGCCTCTTTAGACGCCATTCTAACATCTTAATGAGCCCCCCACCCTCTCTCAACTCCCTCAGTTTTCAAACAATGTGTTCACCCTCATTCAGGATGAATAAAATGATTTCAGGCTTTGTGTCTATTTCTGATGTAGTTAAAGCAAACTACTTTCAAAACTTTGTGTCAACACTTTAAAAAAAGAACCATAAAAAGCTAAATATTCACTTTTCTTGACATTCTTAAATTTTATTAAAAATTAAGGGTAATTGTTAAGTTTCAGGGACTGTAATGAAATGGCTCTCCATATAGCTCTCCATATAGCTCTCCAGATGTTATTTTGCAGGTCCCAGGAGTCCTGGCCAATAAAGGACATGATGTTGGGAGTTGCAGTTAAACGACAACTAGAGGACTGCAGGAATCCCCCCCCCCCCGGTGATTGAAAGGGATGTACATTTTTGGTTATTTTGTTTCCATCTGCAATAATAAATAGCATCAGTTATTTTTCCCCTCCACTGTGCAATTTTCAAACGATGTTTTCTTTTAGTACATAATGAAGAAAAAGTCACAAAAGTCACAAAAATGCATATGCAGAAAACATGATTTTGAGAAGACAATATCTTTTGTGCATATAATACAATCTTTTATGTACATGAAACAGTATACTCTGCTGCAGATAGAATGATGTCTGCATATTAGTTATAGCATCAATAATATGTTTTCCTCCTGTGCTAGCATGTTTTCTATAAAAAAAACCCTCATTTCCATACTTTACAAGTTTACACAATTTGAACAGGTAATGCAGCATGCTCACATATACTAATTACAGTGAAAAAAGCATGCTTTTGCATCGGAAAATTGTGTTTTTGTTTAAAAAGAGGTTTTCCTGTCCTTGTCAAAATTAGTGATTCTTAAAGAAAAATCTATTGCTTCTCACTTTTACACAGAAAATAAGTTTATTTTCCAAGACACAGAGGAAAAACTGCATGCACTTTTGTACAAATGAATAGTTCTGAATGGCACATAATTTCATGACTATTCTCTTCTCCCTTGCTGGGGTGTGTTATGTTTTGACACTCTTAACTGCCACTGGGGGCGTGGCCTTCAAGAAGAGCTGTGCTTAGCCACGCCCACCTCGTCCCTCTTTGCATTGCCGCTCGCCGCCAGGGAAAGGAAACTGCAAGATTTTAAAACTGTTTGTAGGCTTTGCCAAAGTTACTTAATGGTTCTGAAAATCAAAATAACTGTGGGAGACACCCGAAAATAATTCCAAACAATGGGTAAGTGGTTTCAATTCCGAATTGCTCCTCCCACTATTCCTGTATGGTTCGAAATTGGTTCAAAAGGGAATTTAATCTGAATTAATTCCGATTTAAGAAGCTTCCGAACGAACTTGACCAAGCCTTATATATATATATATATATATATATATATATATATATATCACATATCTAAATCAATGACATATAACTGTACATTAAAACCATTAAAACTATAAAAATATCAAACAGACATAAGCATGAAACATATTATTGCAGCAGTTAACAACATAGACCCCTTCTCTCCCCCCCCCCTCACTTACCATCTCTCTCTCCATAGTGTTTCAGCCCTTCTTTTTATACCCTTCCTGCTCCCATCCCCCATCTCACAAGACACAATTCTTTTTAGGTACAGATTGAATACAGAACAGGGAGGGTAAAAAATGTCCTGGGCCTTTTGGGGGGATGGTAAATGTGATATGAGGTTCTGGGGGGGGGGGAATCTTATCTGATGATGGCAGTAGCCTACTGATCAGTTTAGCAAAAGTCTACAATAACATAGATTTTATCAGTTGTGATGTCATAAATACCTCACCACTCCCATGGAATACCTAACAAACCTGGAGGTGCCCAAACGGCTTTTACCTTGGCAAAATGCCATGCCCTCCCATTGGCTGTATTGGAGAAAAGGTATCAGAAGACCCCCATCAAGGAAAGATTATGGTCCTGTAAGTCTGGGCACACAGAAATAATTGAGCTTGTGCTCCTTCAAAGCATGTTCTACAGAGACCTTAGAACTAATTTCATTACAGCATGGCTTCTAAAATGCCCAGGGCACAGCAAAAAATATTACTCTACACTGCTACTTTCAGACTCTAGCACTGCAATAACATACAGTGTTGCTAAGCTTTGTGCTGTAGAATTTAAATTTAGATGGATTATGACTGACCCTGCAAGGCAACACCCTGTTGGGAATGTCGATAGAGCAACTTGTTACAGCTGAAATGCTAGTAGGCTTGTAATGTGCCCCTCCCATCCACATTAATGTCCCCACCCCAGTGCTTTGACCCCTCCTATCACCCCCCCCCCCCGTTACATATCTGCTACATTGACCTGTGTTTTTAAACTGTGATTTCAGACTATTTCTAATCTGTTTTTAATAACTGCTTTGGTGGGGAGCTATGTTTCCCCTTCCCAGGGCGCTTGTGCCCCACTTTGTGCTGGTCATGGACTGTAATACAGTTTTGTGAAATGCGTATATGATGTATAATATCACATTAAAAATGTTGGACAGAAAATGTAGTGGCTGAGAATTGATTTCCTGGCACAATTTAAAAATCATAAATATAGAGAGACATATATTAATGTCAATAATATTTTAACTTCATTCAATGCACACATTAAAAGTGTATTTATTAATAAAGTAATTGGGATGCACTAACAATTAAAAAAAGGTTCAGGACAATCTACATTGGGAAAATGTGAATCTAATTTGGCAAAAATATGTAAATAAATAACATCTAACTGAGCAAGGAAAACATTGTGTCACACTCAAAACAACCATGGTATTTCACTTACCTTACGCTTATTAGTTGGACAAACATAGAGGTAACTCAGAATGGTCTTCAGACCCACTTTGTCATTTAGCTTTTCATAGGTGGTCCCATAGTCTGTTGACCTATAATTTCAGAGAATTTTAATAAGTATGCATATACACAAAAAGCCAAAATAAGATGCAAACTGCTTGGCTGCTTTCCAACTAAAGACATGCAGCAAAATAGCTCTCTGGAGCTTTTTGAATGATTCATGTAGTATATAATGACACTTAATTATGTACACATGCCATCATGTGAGTGGTTAACATTTGCATTTAAATTGGATTAGGAAAAATTAAAATTGCATCCTCCCAGAGCCACCCACATGTAAAAGATACAATAAGAAATGTTAATCTCATTCTAAGAGGTGGTGGTAAAGTTTGTTGTAAATGCCAAGTAGCACAACGAGAGACTGAATTACTTCTTTGACATATACCAGTCTCTGTCTGAAGATCTTGATGAGATTAGATGGTGGATTCAACCCATGACAGATAAATGTTACAGTTTCAGAAAGTTTACTGGGTAAGGAAAATTCTACCTCATATTGGAATATATTAGTAGGAAGAAGGAAGATGAATCAATTTATTTGATTATTCATGTATAAATCGAGGACCAAATTAATGGATTTTATGTGATCCATGATTATGTTGAGGGTCATTGTGTGAGAGATAGAGGTCGCTGTTTCTTTTTACATTCTCCTGGGATGAACAAAACTCTTGCTTTCAGCCACACTACTCAGATAAGGAATAATACCTTTTTGATAAGAGTTAATGTACAATAGTCACACTGAATCATGGATAAGTCAACCCAGGCCCAAGCCCAAACTATACTGCCATATAATCCAGTCTCTAAATCCAGATTACCTCATTTGAACTGAATGATATGACAGTGTATATTCATGTTATCTGATTCAAAGCAGATACTCTGGATTTAGAAACTGGATTATATGGCAGTGTAGATCCTGCCCCCATCTACACTATCATATAATGCAGTTTGAACTGCATTATATGGTCAGTGTAGACTCATATAATTCAGATTGAACTGTATTATATATGCCTACACTGCCATACAATCCAGTTCAATGAATTAATCTGCATCTTAAACTGAATTATATGGCAGTGTAGATGGAGCCCCAAGCTTTTTTTTGTTGTTGTTGATTTTTAGACATATACTTAAGGATATAGCATATATCTCCCCTTTCTTCCAAGATGGGACTCAAAGCATCTTAAAGGCAAATACCCCCAAAAGTTTCCATAGACCAGCAAATCATTCACTCCCAAAAGGAGCACAACAGCACCAGCTGGTAAATACCAGCTCAGATAATGTCCAACAGATCAGCAAGAATATCGGCCTTCTGGGGACTGCTTAACCATATCAATAAAATCAGTCCTGTGACAACCGCTTATATTAGAAAAGTTGCAGTTTTACCACAAAGTTTTACCACAAAGGAAAAGCTCGGTATTTTTTTAAGTGTTTGTCTTCTGCACTGGAATCTATACTGTGCAACCCAGAATTCTAACTAGAAACGAAATAGGGAAGCCTTACATTTGCAGACTACTACTTTAATCATTTAGTAGCTATTGCATTTTTATATTGTTATGTTTTCAGAGGCCATTTAATTTTCAGTTCATTCAGTCTAATTACAGAAAATAATCCAAATTTTTAATTTAATCTTATCTGATCTCTCTATATATTTACACTATATATGAGGTTAGAGTGTGGTCATTAAAGATCATTGGTTTGGAGATGGAAGCCCATTTAGCTTAGTGTATAATTTTTATATTCCCCAGATTTTTAAAAGCCTTCTTCATAATGCACTGGGAATATGCAATTATTATCAGTGACATAGCTTGCACTATCAATAATATGTTTAATTAAGACTATACAGAGGTCACTTTCCAATTTGCTTCTAATGACACAGCATTCCTAATGTATGGATGGTACATTTGCTTTCAGTAATAATTTCCAAAGTAGCCATACATCTGACATTCTTTCTAGGTATTTGTACCCATTTACTCAGCTCTGGAAAATAATTATTTATATCTCTTTAACTGTCCCCACCTACACTGACCATTTAGATCAGTGTAGACTGGAATGGCTATTTAGGTAAGCTGGGGATGGATGAGCCTGTCAGTAGCCACAAAACACACGTGGGCTGTTCCAGATTGACCCATGAAAGCCATTTAATGTGGCTCTAATCTGGGTTAATATAACTCAGTGAGGCTGATTTGGGTTCTTCCCCAAGTAATGGCACTCCAGATACTTGCAGCCAGTTCTTAAGTGGAACTGGCTGTGGTGTTTCAATAGCTATCTTTCCTCCCTGGGCTCAGTTGGTGAGATGGAAATCTATGTTATTCTCAAGGCCTCACTTTCTCCTTCCATGCCCCCTCCCTCTTCCCACCCTCCTTCGTGAGTCACAAGATACAGTAAGAGAAAGATTGAGTCACTAAGGTAAGGTAGGTAGCCAGTAGGGACATTGGGGAGGGAGGTGGCAGTTGGATTTGGCATCACTCAACAGTGGAGACAGCCTGCCACTGTCGAGACTATTCAGAGCAACCCTTCAGAAGGATGGTGAAGACCTGGCTGTGGGACCAAGCCTTTGGGGCAGTGCAAAGAGGCAATAATAGAATGGTATCCTGAGATGGTTTTTAAGCAACTGATTTTAAAATGGATATAAGTGATTTCAATGTTTATATATATTTATAGTTTTATGTGTGCCTTCCCAGAAAAAGGAAAACTCTTAGCAATATGTCCTCAAATGCACTTTAACATTGATTTAGGATTGCCTGCGCACCCTCATCTCTCTTTGAAAATCCTATCCTAGTTATACCCTACCTTGTTCATGCCCAGCATTATTTTTTAAATTTTAAATTATTATTATTATTATTATTATTATTATTATTATTATTATTAACTTTATTTGTACCCCGCTAGCATCTCCCGAAGGACTCGATGCGGCTTACATAGGCCAAGGCCTCAAAACACAACACAACAATACAACACCTAAAGCAAATTAAAAACAGTTAAGCAATATTAACAACAAGCAATAAACAATACATCAAGACACTATAAAACTGGGCCGGGCCAGAGTAATGGGTACAAGATTAAAAGTGCTGATGTGGCAGGAGGTATGTAGGATTATAAGGTAAGTGCAATGTGCAGCAATCTTAGTTCTACTAAAGTGCTTCTGGGACTTGGTATTGGAGATTCCTTTTCTGGGAAGGCACATCGGAACAGCCAGGTCTTCAAGTTCTTTCTAAAGACTGCCAATGTAGGGGCCTGTCTAAGATCTTTGGGGAGGGTGTTCCAGAGTCGGGGGGCCACCACGGAAAAGGTGGTGTAATAAAAAATGTAATAAAAAAATATTACATTTGGCCCAGCCATAGTTTTTTAAATGCTTGTATGTTATTGTTCATTTTTATTGTTTATTGTTTGTTTTCATTTTGAGATTTATTTTACTGTTTTGTATTGATTATTTTGTTACTGCCTTCGTTTTATGATGTACTGCGGGCTTGGCCTCATGTAAGCTGCACCGATCCCTTGGGGAGATGGTAGCGGGGTACAAATAAAGTATTATTATTATTATTGTTGTTATTATTATTATTATGTCCCGGCATTGAATGTTTGCTGTATATATGTTGTGCACCACCCAGTGTGAGAAGGGTGGTATATAAATGTTTTAAATAAATAAATACATATTGGGTCACAAAATGGGCTGGAACTTAAGCTTTTTCAGGCTATTTTTTTGTCAATGTAAAACCACCCACTGTTTACAGCTTGACCACTTGACCACTATAATGAAGTGGTATGATGTGTGATGTTTCTCAGGTTACATCTATATAAAATTCAAAACTGAATTTTGTCTGCATAAAATTTTGTCTCATAAGAAACTTAGAAAAACCAAAGTTCCACAGAAGATTTTTCACGCTGCTTCAGGACAAGTTGAGTAAAAGCCTGCAGATAAGCATATTTGTATAATAACCAAAGTATATGTTCTCTCTTGCAGTCTGGGCAGCAGGTTATTTATAACTATGAATCCATTTCATATTTTCAACTAATTACAGCCAAATAATGATAGCTTAAGTTTGTTTGTCAACACTGATTGCATTATGAGAATAAAGAAGGTTAAAATGGTTGCATTGTTTGAGTTGTGCCAATTGTATGAGACAAGAGCAAATCATTTTTTTTTGCATATGTAATACATGATTACTTATAATGAAGAGAAATTTGCCAAATGATCATTTCATATTCATTAAAAAAGTTTCAAAGGGCCATAAACTCTATTGAGTCTGCAGAGAGTAGTCATATGTACTGTCAATTGCATGTGCATTTTTCAATGCTCATCTTTGACATTTGCAACCAGTTTGTTTACAGTGAGTGACATATACAAATATACAATTTCTTTATCCTATCTTATTTTAACTACAAAGTACAGCATCAACTAAAATGTACAGACCATAGCAACAAGAAAATACAAGTTTTGCACAAAAAAATATCTAGAAATGCATGTCAACAAATTGTGCAGGAAAATGAATGTACCTAAATCACTCAACCCAGGAATTCTATTCAAACATATAAACATGTATGTTGAGGAAACTCAGACTGAATTGTTTGCCCATTTATATTGTATACTCACTGAAGCAAATCCCATTAACTTAAGCATTTCTTAGTATTAAGTATTTTGGCGCTCCTCCAATTTCTTGCCAAAACAATATTTGCAGCAATCGAAAGATTGGCAAACAAGTATAGTTGATTTATATTCACAGCATCTGCTATGTCTTAAATAGTACTAATAAGATGTCTACATTCAATTTAATCCCTATCATCTGTTCAACTATACCTACAGTATAAAATTAATACAATTTTGCTTCAGGACAACTCTAAGAAATATAATAAAATCCAAGAGTCAGGTTAGCACCAAAACTGGTTACTTTGAAATATTCTGTTCTTTTTTGTTGCAACCACTTACCAAAAAATTATTTTAAACTAAAGGTTACTCTACACTAGCTGGAAACGAAGCCACAAACACCATCCCCAATTCATAGCAGCAGCAGGGGGAGCCCAGACAGTTATTTCAGGTTGA